CGCTTGCGGCTACCGATCATTCCAAAAACAATCAGCGTACTAGGTAACAAATCTTATGAACTTTGTCATCTCTATTTAGGCGTGTTTACTGGTGCATTGCTTTTGCCGTTCCTTGTTTATCTGTCCGTAAACGACCCGCCGGGTTGTTTCCGTTATTCAGTGGAAAGATGGGCTGAACAGAAAGCATTGCTGGCCGCCTGCATGTTCTTCTTGGCAGCCCCGCACTTCCCAGTTTCGAACTGGACGCGAGAGATTACGCTTGAGGGCGTTGCTGGCCGCACTAGAGCATAGAGACCACAACTCCGGAGCCCCTTCTGAGCATCACGGGAATTTACTATTTTTCCAGCTTGCTGCTCACGGCCTCTGTAGATATATGAATATGGACAGCGAAAGCTTTGTTGAAGCTCTGCGTTGTCCGAATGGATTAATTGGTGTTGACAGTGAACGAGGCATGAGTCACGCTGGCGTCGGTACCCTAATTGACACGTAAGCTATTTTCTAGCTTTCAGGGAACAAAACATAACGAGTTATTGACTGAGTACGCATCATAACCCTCTTATTGGCCTCATTGACCGCGTAAGTTATTATTATTATTATGATTATTATAGTGATCCATCTCTCCGGACACACTAATACTAAGATCAAACGATGGAAAGCAATGAGCCCTTGGTTGGTGCCTAGTGGCGACCGAGCCACAAAGTAGTCGATAAATTCATTCTCCAGTATTAATGTTTTTAATTATTAATGTACCTGATTGAAAAATAACAACTTTCTTCATATACATAGATTGCATATCACTATCACAGGTAGAACTAGAAACAGTGAACTTTTGCCTCTTTTTACAGCATACATCTTATTACTTTTCTCTTCGAGTATTTTTCCATAAAAGTTGCTCGGTATTGCGAAGGCGGCCTTGGAACAGTTTGAATATACAGTGTTGTGTGTGTTTGTTTGCTTTGAACCAATGACAACAAATTGGCTTCCGATTCTAGAGTACTAATAGGAGTCATTGTAGAAAAGAAGTAGGAATATATATCCTTAATTCATTCAGTTTCGACAGGTGTTTCTCGATCTATAAAATAGCGGCCCGATGATCATTCGTACGACTTGCGGAGAGACATCTCTCTTTGCGATGGTATTTGATTATTTTTCTCTTGTATAAGCGCGGCCGTTTCAAATGAAGCCGGTAAGCTTCGTTATTCCAAAACAACGTTCAATTACACGTCACGTAATGTATGACAATGGCTAAAATTGCTGATGCCTCTACTTAAAGCACATAGAACATATATATTTGCATTGTATTTACCGCTGCGATAGATATTCCACCTTATGCCGTACATACGTACGAGGTTCTTGCGTGGGTGTATCGCTTAGCAACGTGTTCGAAAGCCGAAGACGAACGTTTCCACCGGCCTCATGCAGCCATGCCTCCCAGCCTTCGTGTTCCTATTTCAACTAGCGATCGATAACGATGTACAAAATACGAAAGTAACGGCTGTAGACGGCCTACGAAGCATACGTGCGCATATCGAATTTAGTCCATAAGCTTGTACAGTCTCTACACGTCCAGATAAAACAACTAGCGTTTAAAAATCATAATACTAGGGGATTAGGGACAGAAAGGTTAAGGTAAATCTACTGTATTTCCATGTCGAAAACAACGGAGTGGAGCCGTCCCTTTTTCGTTTAGCCTCGTAAAAAGAGCATTTGTCTACGTTGGTGAGCCTTTCACGGTGGCTGTCGTTAAATAATACCGAATCACTGAGTGCATAAGAAAAAAGAAGCTTCGATGTTCAATAGTTAAAAATAGTCCGCTTGATTGTCTCCACAACTGCTCCCTAATAAGCCAGAAGACGAAACGGGACATAAATTGCCTCCTACTAATAAGATGGAAAGACAATTGGCTATCATAAGAAGGATTACTCACGAGGGTATCTAGATGGAAATTCTTGTAGCTCGATCGTCCAGAAAGGCTTACCAATCCAAACTGATACCAGAGGTCATGTAAAGTAATTTGGCGCCAGTATATCTAAAGGACGACAACTTCATCGGCATGAGCAGTGAAAGTTACTCATACAATAAATACCCCTTTAATTTCCGTAACATCCAAATGTCCTATATATACATATAGCATATATACAGTACTGATTGGCATAATTGCGTTTTGTTGTTGGGCTAAATCTGCAAAATCAGAAATGATATACGTAACCATTATCTGCCAGCACTCATCTTATTCCGATTAAAAGATGCTTACTTCAGTTCTGGAAGCGCTCTGTCCCATATCAAATACCTATATGGTAGCCTTTAACCAGAAACACACTTATACCATACTCTATCGCAAGACCTCTAACTTTGCTTATACGTTAATTTTGCGACATCTACTTATATGAGCTCGGCTCTTTGACAGTAATTACTTTTCACGTAAGGTAGACAGGCAGCATCCTATTACACACTGTGTATATCTACATCTACGCCATTGTATTCTGATCCTTTAAAGACCGGGTCAAGCTAGAAACATTTGTCTCGAACAAAGAACAATTGAATGGATAGGCGACAACGTCAACGAACCCTGCCGTACACTTACGCGCCGGTATTATGACACGTTTTCTTGCCTAGCCTTACAGAACTGTTGCTAGAATATTCTACCCGGCCGTAAGAACAACGCTCTACTCCGCGGGCCAGCTTCGATGTTTTCCCGACAAGGCCGCCTGAAAGGCCACTTTAACCAAACTTGTTGTAAAGTCGTAATTGCTTAGCAGCCCCTATTTTTCATGCCCCATAGTCCTGTCTATGCTGAGACACTGACCTGCTTCGTTCGCTGGTTCCGATGGGAAGCAGCGCCATGTGTTCTTCGAATTTTCAATGGGGTAGTACGTGATACACGGTTTGCTTTTAGCCTTGCGAACCTATTTCGGCGATATACGCTAACGTCTCCGTTAGCACCGCCTGATGCTGTAGCGAGCCAGCAGGCCATGGACATCGCTGCTAGTGTCTATTCCTTGTTCCAGCTCAACGATGCAGAGAACTCTCCCATAGAATACGGAGTTAATTCCAGCGAACCGTGGCCTAATTAACACGTGGATTAGAGAGAAGGACGCGACCCAGCTTGATGCCTGTTAGTGCGTGGCACGCGTATACGTTAGACGGTCCAGGCATCAGGCTGATCCTGTGCAGTCTAAGCAAGGGTCTATCGTCTCTGGTAAACAAAACAGGGTCAAAGGAGCTAAGCTGATTGAGTTGGTCACGAAATAGATAAGCTCTTGCGAGTGAATTGTCTAACGTTGACTTCAATGTGCCTCAGTAACATGACGAAGCGACATCGGATCTTGTACCCAGTTGCCATGCTACTGGCGATTATATTAGATTTTGCTTTTGTTGACGGCCAGTTGGAATGGTAAAAACAAATAGCGAGGAGGAAATTATTTAGTGCTTGTGCTCGGAGGCCATTTGCCATGACATTTGCCAATACCCACTCCTCTCCGCGGCACAAAATTCGACTGAAGGCAGAACTATGGCAGCCTGTATTTGTTTTCTTAAACTAAATTGAGGAAGAAACAGGTATTCAGCGGATGGACAACAGTTGTGCAAGCATGATATCGATGGAAGTACACCTCAGCGTCAAAGAGCGCCGTGTGAATTACTTAATGCGCTTGTCTCGTCAGGTTGCTCCTTTCGCTAGCACGTTCTGCTAGTAAAACATCGATAACAGTAACCTAATATTTGACTAACGATGATAGAAAGGCTAACATCAGCTCGTTTTATGGTTCGTACAGAAACTTCAATAGCAGAATATTTAGTACGTGATCAATTTCAAGGCGTCGTTCCCTAATTAGCGTGCTCGTAAAACGATCTCCGCTTCAAACCGGCATGAGCTAGGCTGAGATTAAATTTTCCCGTAGCTTAACAAAAGGCGTGGCAAAAGAAAAATGACAAGACTTACTAAGAATCTCCTTACAGAAAGATACCCCAAACCAAAGGTAAGGGGTTGGTATTTCTTCATTGTTGGGCGAACCAGCTAAAGAAGTATACACGTAGTTAAAATGATTTACCCTAAGAAACACACCCATTTACGGGGCAAAAGTTCTCATACGCGCATTTTGTAAATATCTGCTGGATGTTCAATGGTACGGCGAAGGTAATAGGATCATGTACATCAAAGAACCGCATACAGCACAAATAGAATTAACTTGTGCATGTTAATTATTATAATAATTATTGCCGTCATTGACATAAAGTCAATGCCATTAATATAATATTCACTTTGTTGGTCTTCTGTGCTTCTACCTATGTTACTGAAAGTGATGAATAAGCTAGCTTCAATCGTAGTCCGTACATTAATACGAATACAAAAACGGCACATCCCAGAATTCAGTTTGTTGTATCTTTAAACGGTAGGGCAAATTCACTAAATTGCGCATTGGTTAGATTTAGATTTGCCTCCTTATACTTAATATTAGTTTGTTTAGCTTCTAAGGAAGATCTTCTTAGGATAATTCCTTTGAGAAGAAAGAACAATACGGTTTTTTGAAGCATAATTTAACGAAACTCTATAAGTACGTATCATATCTTTTCAAAACCTATCCGATGCGACGAAAGTGCACTTCCTTAAGTATACCGTCTGATACCTTTTACGGGTATACACCTCAATGATGTCTATAGATAACTCAGTAGTTCGAAGAGGCAGACATTGAAAAACGCCTAATTTTACCACGATATCTTCGGAATGAGGACAATAAACGCTACTGACGTAGAAGAGATCATATATACTCAGATAATAAAGAAAAATCTTCTTTTTTTTCATTGAACAGTTTTTGATATTATTAATGTAATAGACCAAGCCTGCAATGACCCCGAATCGCACATGATCTACGCCGTACGTAGCGTCTCTGTCCTACATTAAGTTACACAGAATAACCTTTATAAAAAAAACCTACGAGCAAAACTACCTTTCGCAGCTTGCAAAAGTCGGTAATCGTAACCAAAACAGAGACAACACTCACTTTGTTATCAGATTTTCGCTTGGCGTCATAGATCTTCCAGACGAGTTCGGGTCCGGCGGAGCCGACTAATCGTCCAATCTCGTAGTGTTGACTTATCGGGTTGAGCTCGAGTGGCGACGGGGGTCCCTGTTTGAATTTCGGCAGTCCACCACCGCCGCCAGGGTTAACTAACTCGGCTATCATCGACCGCCGGCGTCCTTTCGGACTCGGGTGTGGGGAAAGGGAAAGACCGCATGTCGAGCCTCTCCGCCCCCCGGGGGCCTCGTCTGGCCCCCCGACTTGCAGCACATTGGGATTGTTCACGTTGTTCAAATTCGTTAAGCTGCCTCCCTGATGATTGACATTGGGTAAGCCTAGCAGACCCCCAGCGGGCACGCCCAAGCCCGGCACGCCACCCACCCCGGACGGCCCCCCCGAAGGGCCGAGCGTCGTGCGGGGGAATATGCTGGCTGAGATGGTGCCGCCGGGGGGCCCGCTCCGCGCGGGGCTTCGCGGCTAGCGCGAGCCGACCTGCGACGACGGGTGGCTACAGTAGCAGGCGCGTGTGCTAATGACCGACTCGTGAGGAACCGCGCGGACAAACCGCTGTGAATAACCCCGCGTCAACGGTTGACCTTCTACTAGTGATTAAGTGCCTTCGCAATCGACAAGCGACCGAGGGATTGCGGGGCGCCGATGACACTGAACGCAGCAGCTATGGTGCACGCTGCTAGAGGACGATGAAATCGAGTTCGCCGCCTCAGAGCTGCTGGACATCACCTGGTGTGATGAGAGAGCGCAAAGAAATGAAACAAAAAAACAGCTTAGTATGAAATTTTGATTAGCCGAGCTGAAATACTATCTAGGTTTAGCTTCAATTTGCAACGCATATGATCGGCATGAAAGATTTTTATTAATAGTTAAATAATTTTTATACTTTTTAATCCTATTAAATATAGCGGCCCGTGGCTACAACCCCTTAAGAAACCACGATTTGTTTTCTGTTTACATATGTGTGTACCTATAAATGATATGAAGATATGCCAAATTTGGATAAAACTGAGATCATTCGTGAAATAGTTTATATTTTTTTATTACGCTTTGTTGTGAATTAACGTTTTATGCAGCGAGAAATGAAACAAGACGGAGGTTGTATTTGATTTTTTTGTCGAAATTTACTTTCTGTCAATTAAAAACATTTCAAAATTCCCAAGAAATTATTTTTTAAGTGCCGCAGTAGATATGTTTGGTAGTATCTATCTGTGCTAGAGTCAAACTAAATGAAATATACAGAAGACAAGCAGATATTGTGCTTTAGAGCTCACTAAATAGAATGTATCCAACACAGTTTAAAGCTTCTCCAGTGGCGGACATAAACGTTGCTTTCATATACTGAATTGTTTCATAGTTAGCCGAGGTCCCATGTTGTTCGCACTACATGCGACTTCATTTTAAGCTCGACAAATTACTGATCATGTAAAACTATTAGAATAAATTATGAGACATGTAGATAGTGCGTATCAAGCCAAAATTTGTAGAATATATTCTGTACCGCCATCTGGTCCTAACAACGAAAGCCCACTTGGAAATTCAACGAGATCGCTGTTTATTGAATTGCCGGCGCTCATTATGTTTGCGCCGTATCCTCGGGAGGGACTTCCATTTCTTTAACAGGAACTCAATTTTCTTAGTCATTCTATGAAACACATACAGTTGTGCTATATATATGTATTTACGGATGACGCGTATTTGTTATACTAATGATTAGACCCATAGATGTCTCCCTGATTGCGTTATGGTAAAAACACATGACAGCAGCAGGGTTTTACACTATACGAGCCCATGGCTCGCCACCACTTCGTATGCCAGTCGCAGTAGCTGGTAGTGAAGCGATACGCGAAGGACACTACTGGGAGTAAAAATATATCGCCACTAACACCATCACCACATCCGAAGATAGCCTCTTTTGCTCTGCGCGGATCCTTTCTTCGGGTACGAATTCTCAATCTCTGCTATACTTCCGGTGACACACGTAAGATAGTCTCGATCACATGTCAGCACGCCAACTTACGGACGAGGAGGGCGGGCCGCAGGAGAACAGAGGAAATAGAGAAGTTCGGAGTCGGCTCTGTTGCGATGGGCCCAGTGGTATGGAATAAATAGCTCGACTTTACATCCTTACTCCCGATTGTTCATCGAGTCAGAGCTCTCTATAGTATAGAAGACCTTGTTCGCGTACAGTCAGCACTACTGCTGCGGGAGGACCTCCCCGCCAGTTTAGCCGCCCACGTTAGCCGCCTACAGAAACTGCCGCCTACAGTCGGCCTGAGAGTAAGGGAAACACCGACTGTGCGGAAAGACAACGTAAGCATCGTCTCTAGGCAAGTTCCCAGCGTCCTTCCTCTTCTAGCTCCTCTCGTTTTTGCTGCCGCCTCAACCAGATTGAGGTCCATTGTCTCAATGGACTAAAAGAAAGACAGGGCGCTGCCGAGCCGTAATCCCTATTCTTTCTGACGAAAGAGGTGGTAGCGGGAATAGGGAGCATCGGGCCAATGATACCACAAGAAACAGCAGTAGCGGTAACAGCACGCCGCTGTGCAGGCACAACAAACCATTAGAGTAGGCTTCATCAATCACACGAGCACCTACTTACGCTTCGTGTTGTCCCAGTAACCGGAAGAGTGTCGTATGGCGAGAGAAGGAAAATGGAATATGAATGTAAGGCGTGTACTTTCATGACGCTTACTGCTCGTCACTTGCTACTTTCTTTAAATATGGATGTCAACCGGTTTCGTAACCAGGGAACCTTGTTTTTTCATTGGCAGATGGTTGCGGTAACAGCTATAGTAAGAGCTAAACGTGGACTATTCAGCCATTTTCCAAGTAAATACTGTCTACGTGTGCATCACATGAAGCGTGTCTTACACGTAGTTATATTAGTGGTTAGAAAACGTATCTGATGCACGTGCTTGTAGGATTGCACTTGCTGGTAACGGCGATGCTCGCTGAACAAACCCCATAAGTATTTACACCTTCCAGAAAGAAAATGTCTGGCATATACTATACTTTTATTTATTTATATACTCATTTTTAAACATTTTGTAAGCGCGATCCGTCATACTGTTTTCTTCAGATATATTTATGGTGATGCCATATCAACGGTATCTCTGAATAAATACAAATGATAATTATGTAGTAAAAATTATTATTTGTGCATTACCACTTTTCGGTTACCAGCCCACCTCTTTTTCTCGTTTCATACAGGAAGTATTACACCTGAACCGCTGCCTCATCCGAGACCCATTTTCTCCTGTTCCGTTAAGCAGAATTGTCATTCAGAGTCGCATCGGTCGTCCTCATCTGATTTCTACCGATCTGCCAAGGCAGGCTGCTTTCCGCTCTTCGACAGATCTCTCGTCTTCAATTCAGCCAACCAAGCCGCTGGCTTGCCGTTAGCTAACCGCGTAATATATCACCCCCTAATCGTGGCGCTGTGGATATTTTCACGCCCTTACCCGAACGAATGCGTTGCTCAGCGCAGGCCTGCGCTTTTTTCACGGCACCCCGGTCGGCCGTCCTCGTGTTTCAAGCGTCTTCTTCGATTCATCGTCCTTTTGGCCTTTCTATGCTCCGTCCGCACTCAGCTCTCCATTACTCTTCAAGATCTTGTTGGCATTCCTTAGGGAAGCATAAACAACTACTTTTCCGCTCAACTTCGTTTATCTCCATAGGAGAGCTTTGCAGGACCGCGCGGTAGCCGGGTTAGATGGCACGCGCGGCGAGCACAGCATTTGATAGGGATAACAGCAGCAGCATGCACTGGTAGCCCGGATATAGCACTGGAGCGTGGGTTCATTTGAAAGCTGTAAAAGTTATCTCGTCGGTGGCTTTATTATCCGTAATGGCCGTTAGCGGTAGAAGTGGCGCTAGTCGTAGCCATGGCACTACGGTTGCCGATAGTAACAGCATTGTACTTCACTATTCATCGGAGCAACAGAGGAAGAACTGTTCAGCCAATTAAACTAATAGTAATAGGCGACACTTTATCATACGGTACCTCTATTCTGTTTCGCGGCCACTGGCGCCGCCGCTGCTGCTGTTTTATAACTAGTCAGTACTGACGTATAAGCAGGAAGAGACGGCGGATGGATGGCGAGTTACCCATTCAATATGGTCTCGTGAGTCGGAGAGTCGGCGCTGCTTTATGAACTTAGGTTATAATGTTCTCCTAGAGATCACCTAACGAACGTCTGTATGTATATACATCTAACAATGATTGCACCCCGTTTAAGTTTAATGAAGTGAGTCGAAGCGAAAAGATAGAACAGCTTACATGAAGCGCAATCGTATTAAGGAAGGCCCAGTTAAAACCGAGGTACTTGTTGGTTTTCTTATTGGCGCAGTCTTATATCATAGCGTGTTTCTGTGTAAAAAGTCACTCATCCTTTTCGCTAATAACAATTTATTAGTTATACTGTTTTATGTAGCAACCGGGAGCTACCGATAGGATCGCTGAGACTGGTTGAAAAATAATAGCTTTTCATTAATTTCCTTTGCGTGATTTGGAGGATAGCTAATATCAATGTTTGGCATCGAAGAAAGAAGAAATTGACACGCTAGCGAAGTCCGTCACGTGCTACACGTAGAAGCATAAAGTTCTAGGTGTAGCTTTTAAATGTAATATCTTTATGTTATATGAATTAATTATAGCAGTTGATTTGGCATTCACGTTTGACGAACTTCAATATCATTCCACTCATTACCCGTAATTCCCAAATGTCCAAGGCAATGCTGTTTTTTTCCAAGCACACTGAAGCAGGGAAATTGCAATTTTTATAAACAAAAAAAAAGCAGCAATTAGACCTGTACCAGCGTCTATTTTAAGCACTCGTCATTGCGTTTTATAAACTCTACGACATGCAAACAAGAAACTTCTCGCTTCAAACGTTATCGTATAGACGCCTGTCAACTGGACATAACAACGACTGGCCACTTTGAGTAAACTGAATCCAGGTTGTCTTACAATAAAAATCCTCGACTAATGAGCCGACAGATCGTGAGATCATGACGAAGAAATGCTAAAGGTCACTTTTCGAACATAGTTGTAATGTCTGTGTATTTTCACCTAAACTTTACGACCGTTTTCCTGAAAAACGTGTTTTTCTCTTCACGTTTTATATTAAAAAGCGTTTCTCGACAATCAACCTCTAATCCTAGTACTTATATTACCGCATCTGTTCCATTCTCACTACGCGTCGATGATAACCTCAGGCGAATGACAGCAAAACTAGAACCATAGTAAATCACTACCAACTTCAGTGGTCCCTGTTGC